TGTACGATGATGATGATGACGATAATGAACCATGTTCTGTTCAATGTCAGTAAAACGTCCCTTGCATCAATTTCTCTTGAGCACGCATCTTTCCCTCCTTCCTTGAATGTCAACTCGATCATTCTCCCTTCCACAGAATCCTGCAACCTACTGGCATTTTTTAGTATCTTCTTCACTTTTATGGTCGCCATATATTTATCTAATTGTCTCCCGCGCGGCCCACAAAATAGGCTTCGTCCGCTTCTCTTTCGTCCTGATCGGGTTCAACCTAAGGCCATCCGTCCCTAATATGCAATTCGCAGTCACTAGCTGACTGTCGGGCAGTCGCTCCTTTATCGTTATTATATCAATACTATTTTGGATTTTGCTCTAATGAACTTTCCGCGTCTGTCCCTCTCGCTTATTCTTCCTCGTAGATCCCTCGCACAAGCGGCTAGCCACCCCTTTCAAGTGACTATCCTCAAGTGTCGCATTTCTAACTTTCAGTCATCTTTTTTCCCAAGAACAGCAGAACTGCTTTACACCCCTCGTTTCAGCCTTCCCTTTAACGTACAACATTCTTATCTTTAAACGCAGAAGCAACAAGCTAGTTCCGGCTTGAAGGTTGCCCTTTACCTTCCCACGTACAGTATATCCTTGAATCCTGGGGTTTACCCTTTTACTGTATTCATTTTCATGTAATAGAAAAATATATTACTACCAAATATGTTTCATGCCCTATGTTCTTCGTTAGCATGTAATGCAAATACGAAGGGACCCATCTGCAACTTTTTGGCTCCGTAAGAATTTAACACGACTGTCTTGACGAAGGGCAAAAGAGTCGAATGGGACTCAGGCCAAGTAGTAGCTACCGCCTACCAAGATAGACCTGAGCAAAAGCTCCAGCCCTCATATAGAAGACTCAAGGCTTCTTAGAAGGGCTTTTGCACCGGTCATTTTTCCGGATACTGTTGAAGTCCTTTTTTTACCATTCTTGTTCAGTTTCGTTACGGGCGACTTATTGGAGGACGTCCTAAATTGTCTTGAAAATTGTAGTATTGAATGTGTAGCTGGAGATAATCTGTATGATGGAGAGTACACTGATAACATCTCGAATTTTTGGAGGATGCGTAATATGCACTTGCCAAAGTGACAAGCACCACTGCTCCTTTAAGCGTGCGCTTCAAAGTGTAGATCTAAAACTAGATGGGAAGGAATTTGCTGAAATTGATGGCTCCCTCTAGCAGAGCAGTTTAGTGACCATTGACGGTAGCACATTAAATGTGATAATTGCACGCAGTTCCAGGGCTGGGACGGGGTATGAAGGGATGAAATTTCTTTGGCGTTGACGTGACGTTTCATAGAAGTTCAAAGGTTGTGTGTGCTACTGTTCGTTAACTTTTGCGCTACGGTTGGGAGGCCTTGAATGTCGCTAGTGAAAGACAACAATGGGCTAGAGGTTCTCGACAGTTGATGCTCACAGTTTATCGCAGTTGGTGTGGTGTAGGCAAGTATATGACCTGGAAGTAGGCTGTCGTGAATTTGTGAATGTATCGATGAGAAGTTAGTTGGTACATGGAATTCATATTGGTAGGTTTCGACTGGTTAGGACGGTCGATAGAAGACGACCAAGGCTTCAAATTTCCCCTGGACTACTGGATCAGCGACTTTGAATTCGCCGATGGTGTTCAAGGAGGTCACGACCACCTTGCCATGTGCCTTAACTGCTTCAGACACTGGCCGAGAGGTCTTCGCTGCAAAACGATGCTTGTGACGCCCTCTGGCCATACAGAACGAGCATTACGGACATAGAAATTGTTTCGCACCTTGTATCTAAACCCCTCAGTATGGTTGAGAGTGGGTGTCTCAGGTGTCTCCGAATGTCATAACGGAGGTGATCCCAATGCGAATACACAATACAAGTGAAGAAGTTCTTCAAAACCTATTGCTATGTTGGAATCTTATGTGACTTCTCCGAATAGACAACATGATAATACACGCGAGCCTCTTTTATTATTTCTTTTTTATTGAATGACTACAAACAATTTTTCAGGAAGGGAAATGTGGCCAATCAAGACGTCATGTGGTGTACAGCAACGTGGTAATCCAAGCGGTGGTGGTTAGGTTCGAACACTATCTCTCAGGTTGTTAGTTGAGCACTCAACCAATGCCAAATTAAAGCCTTTGCTGACTTCATATTCGCATTTCTACGTTTTTAGCCATTTTTCTTATTCTGTAATACTGAAGTTTCTCAAGTCCCATGGCGCAGTCCAATTTCCCAGTGATGACTAAAGAGGCGGCGGAAAAGACTGCTCGGTCAATATTTGTGGGCAATATTCCTTACGAAGCAACTGAAGAAAAGCTCATTGAATTATTCAGCAAGGTTAGTTTTTGACAGACTTGGTCTCATCAGTTTTTTTAGGCTGGACCGGTTAATGGTTTCCGACTAGTGTATGATAGAGAATCTGGAAAGCCGAAAGGTTACGGATTCTGTGAGTACAATAATCCTGCGATTGCCGCAAGTGCTCTGCGAAATCTGCAGAACATCGAATTTAATGGGCGTCCTTTACGAATAGGTAAACAAATAAACATTGGTCTTCGATCTTCTTTTTTCCTCAGGACCGGCTGCCGGTGAACAGAATTCAGCGGAATTAGCTCTCAGTAATCCGGCGGTAGGACCTCCTCTGGAAAGTCCCTACGGTGATCCGGTTGACCCACAAACTGCCCCAGAGACAATTAGTCGTGCGGTAGCCAGTTTACCTCCGGAACAAATGTATGAACTTATGAAACAAATGAAGTTATGTATTCAAAACAACCCGAACGAAGCGCGAAATATCCTTCTTCAGAATCCACAACTTGCCTATGCTCTGCTCCAAGTACGTCTATTCTCTCTCGTATATGTACCCACAAACGCCAGAGTCTGGAGACTGCAAAACGAACCTTAGTACAATATTCTTTGAGAAAAGAAACTCCAGTTTGTGATGCTGTCAGATAGCCCACGCCAGAACAGTTGAACTTTTAGGGAATTCATAATCGGTGCTTTTGACTAGCCAGTTTTCGGTTTGAACAACCGTTAACCATGCATTTCTGTGCACCGGTTTTGGTTGCCCATTTGGATGAACAATTGGAGGAAGACAGGGAGGTTGGAAATATAATCAAAGAGAAAATAAGGAATTTCAGTGGACTAATGTTGCAAAGAAATTGAGAAGATGCACAAACACCACTGGTTACGACACTCAGCCATATCATTCAATTTCGCAAACCGTCGGTTACGATCGTCCCGAGGTGCCCATCCAAGGAGCCTAACGGGACCTATATGACAGATTCCCGGTTAGGGTTTTCATACCTAAGTCTCTAAGTCCCGGGGCTTAGGTTACAGGTTTCCATCAATGGACACCAGGTCCTCGTGACTATGGGATTCGCCCCGTCTGTTGTTCATCAAACTAAACAATGTGCAACCCGCAAGGCAGCGGGCAGTGTGTGAAGACCACAATCCACTGGGGATCGGTGTACAATTCATCGGATCGTCCGTCCTTTAGACGATTTGAGACGTCGAAGGCGGCCCAATACACCACAAGGCAGTAGAGCGTAGATCCAGCGCGGGAACGTGAATGAAGCACCCGGTGTGGGAGCTTCTAGAGAACTGTAACGCAAGGAATTTGAGTTTCAGTCCAGTGTTTTTCGTTGGTAAGTTGATTGTCGGTCCGCTGTTGATCGGTAAACTGCTCCTCCGCATGTTTAGTTGCAGGATTGATATCTCCAGGGGCGATGGTATATAATCAGATGGAGCCAAGTGACCNACCAACCAACCTTGTAGGATTTAGCTTTGTCTGGTCATTCAAGCATAATTAGATCTGCGACTGTGTAGCTTGCAGAGTCATGGAGGCGTGCAAACCATTTCACTACGTCGAGGTGCAGTCTTGTCGTGATGGCCTTTTATTGAGTATACAATGATACTATTTTCAGGAAGAGGAAAGCGGCCAATAAAATGGTGGCCATACAACACATAATAAGGGAAGTCAGATTCTGATGGTAGGATTCGTACATATCCTTTGGGGTGCTAATTTGGTGATACTACCACCGGGCCACCACTTAATTTAACCAAGTCGCCAGTTGGTTACAGGTTGCTGCCTGTAGCCGATTTTAACGAAGTCGCTGAAATTAGCTAGGAGACATGAATAAAAACGAATTTTCCCTCCAGGAGTACTATTCCCACGTATCGATTGAAGTACCCCCAACGTCATTGGCTGTTGTCCCAGCAGTTATATGTTTAAACGCACCTTAAATTCAGATAACTCATTTAGGAAAACTTTTAAATTGATTTTGGTGTTCATTTCATTTTTTTCACTCGTCCTCTATTTAGGCACAAATCGTGATGAAAATTGTGGATCCAAAGGTTGCCATTGCCATGCTTAATCGTAGCCATGACCAAATTCCGCCAGCAATGCCAGATGACAAAGAAACTCCAACGAAACCAGCCCCCTCCACAGTTCCGTCCTCAATGCCTGGAACAGCGACGGGGACCACTTCGATACCTCCTGGAATGATGAATCCGAATATCGCTTCTGGTAGCATGCATGGGATGCCACCTAATTCTTATCCCCCTCAAAATACTGGAATAATGCCTGCTGGTCCCGGGAGCAACCTTCCACCGGGCCCATATACTGTCGATCAGCATCCCATGGGTGCCCCACCTAATCCCGGCACAAGTGGAAAAACGCTGACCAAAAAGAAATCTATGCAGCCCGTTCAGACGATAGAACAATTGTCAGTATTGAGGTCGTTGGTAGCGTTTAGCTTAGACCTACACCCACAACTGATTGGGGCCAACTGAACGGCTACTCACGTCTAAACGGGCTGCATAGATTTCTTTTTGGTCAGCGTTTTTCCACACACACAGCACTACCTGACACATATGTTTGCATCTCATTCTCAGGTCCAATAATCATGTTTTTTTGTACCCCGTTACTTCAGGAATTTGGGGCGAAAAATTATCTATGATGCGCACCCTTAACTGTTTATAGTCTTTTGGTCATGTGCTACTAGAAATATTTAATACTTACGAGTTTTTAAGACGATGCAACCGTCCGCCGATTTTCTTTTACTGGTCAGGCTTAGAAAGTTATTCATCATGCAACAGGACGTACGTCATTCAGTTTAGTTATACAACC